TTATTATTATTATTATTATTATTATTATTATTATTATTATTTTATTATTTGTCGCAACCTGGCATTCCGGGGACATCAACGCGAGAGAATCGCAGCGCCGGAGAAACCTGCCGTGCCGCCACCCACTCTCTATTGGAAGACCTCGCCACCTGGGCTAAGTGCTAATAAATGCTATTAAGCCCTCGCTGTCTTTCTATTCCCTTAACGAGTTGCTAGGTTCTCCCTTCCCTACGAGTTGCTAGGTTCCCCTATCACTTCGCGACAATTTTAATTATCGTTACAAATGATGTTTGCTCAAATGATTGACTGCCCCATCCAGGACAATGCCACCCCGGATTTGTCCCATTACTTCGTCGAAGTAGCTACGACACAACTGTAGTTGGCATATTGCAAAACGGATTACTACGTAATTGTTAAAAATACAATTTTGAAAAGGTGGTCAGATATAAAATATTACACAATATACAAAAATTTCCTCCTAAGTGAGGTCCGAAGTAGTGTTTTGAACATATGGGTTTAATTGACTTGTTCGATCACCCAATAACTGATTATAACAATGATTCATGTCTTACTATTATTCGATCGTGATAAGTCTTCCCTTTATTCGGCCAACTAATATTATGATCACCTGCCCAGATATGGGGAGAACTTTCATAGTAAAGATGTACGTTTCCTCGTGAGATGCTAAAAATATCATTGTCCACTCACCTCATCCCATCGCTTATTTCTGTCATAGTTATGTCTTGTAATTACTTATTGATGTGCTCACTAAAAAATTCAGGGAACAACAATTTAATAAAATAAACATTGAAAACCATGGTTCGTTATTATTTGAATATACAAATGTGCAAATAATGTATTATTAATATATAATTTGCATAAACAAATATGTATTATTTATGTGTGTGCAGAAATTCATTGGGAGGTACATTATTCAATTTCTTAATGACTAAGAAAGACATGATGAGAAGATACAAATTTTTTTCAGTCAAACAAGTTGATAATGTTTCCTGAGAATTAAATGTAATTTTTTTTACATTTAAAGCATTTTGTCTCACTCTACTTCACCGGAATATCACAATTTATGTTTTTGGCTATCCAAAATACAGACACTGAAAACATTTAACTGAAAGATTTGGAGATAATGAATTGGCTTGAAATGTGTCAACAGTTTAAAACAGATGTTTTATTTACGTTCCCAAACATGTATATTACTTGTAATAACTTGTAATAAAAATGAAGGAGTTAGGTACGTCTTCCACTTCGATATGAGTTTTTTTCTTTTTGTTTCATGTTGTGAATCTAACAGGTAAAATTCATCTGAAATTTAAAAAAATCAAAATAAATTAATAAAAGCATCTGTTATTACTTTGTCAACATGTCGTTCTTGGTCACGAAATTTTAATTATCAACGAATTTCTAATTACCATTAAAATCGTAGTGTAAATAGGATATATCAAGCTACTTAGTTCAATTTTATACAAAGGACTATTTTACAGGCATATTGAAAATACATACTTTACACACAAAAATATATTAGCCCTTCTATTTTATATAACGTGAATTTACGCCGTAAAAATATTTATTTTACCAGACCAGCTGTAATTTACAATATAACAATAAGCATAAATAACTCTCAATGCTGAATAAGCGTAACAGACATTTTGAACATCAGTACTGAAAGGACTCACGATGTTTAACAGTCAGTGCAATTTTTTTTGAACCTGTGAATGTGTAGATCGTGATTATTGCGTGAGTGTTTTTTAAATAAGTACTACATAAAATAACGAGAGGTAGATGATATTTTACAATTCTAGCCTGGTATTATTTCTATTACATCTACAATTTTCCTTTCTTTGAGCATTCTTCATTACGAGAACGACGTTCATAAAAAATGTGAAAAGAAAGAGCAAGTTACTTCAGGATTGTCAAGGCAAAATATAAGTAACGGTACCTATAATTGTAATGTAATTTGCTTTCTTTCAAGTTCTCAAAAACTCTTTCTGTTTATCATTTTCAAAATAATGTTTTGATAATAAACAACTATAACTTTTATACTAAACCCTTTCAAATGGCAATTTTCTTTAATATTTTATTACACAAAATAAGATGCAATGCTGGCAAAATATTATCTGGAAAATTACCTAGTTTGTTAATGTTACTTCGAGTTCCTATATGAAATTATATTTGTTTTATTCTTAAGCTGCAAGAGTTCACAAACCAACTTTCCACAGGAGGAGCTAAGACCGTTCGACGGGAACTCACAAAAACTATGTCATTCTTGTTCCACAGCTTGAGTATGCAGAATTGAATTACATGTTTTTAATATTGTGACTATGATCTCTTTTAACTTCATGCGTCAGAGAAGAGACTGGTTAAAATATCTTTAAGAACACAATATTGAGCGCAAATAAAGTATAAGAACAGGCATGCAATAGGTATTAGTTTAGGTTTAAAGAACTTAGGAAGATATTAGTTTTAAAGGGGACGGAGATCATTTTTACGGTATTTTAGAATCAATTGTTCAGTATCTGCTAATGTGAAAACTCCATTGTAAGGCAGTTTCTCCTTTAAATTTTCTGAATTCGCTTTCTGTTTTTTTCACTTATCTGTAAAAAGGTATATTTGCCTGCAGTGCGTAGACAGTTACGCGTTTTCCAGTCTCAGGTGGTTTTATGTAATAGATCAGATAGTTACAAAGAGGCCCTTTTCCATCGCAACTTCGGGTTGTCATTCTGCTCATTCTCGGTATAAAGAGTCACGTGGGGCTCCCTAAAAAATAAGTGAAGGCTGTAATAATTCAGTATATTCAATTAAATTTTTATCTAAACATGTACTAATTTTTTATCTAAATATAAGTTTGTTTTACAATAGTAGTAGTAGTAGTAGTAGTAGTAGTAGTAGTAGTAGTAGTAGTAGTAATAGTAGTACTGGTAGTGGGAGTGGGAGTGGTGGTGGTGGTAGTAGTGTTGGTGGTGGTGGTAGTAGTAGTAGTAGTAGTAGTAGTAGTAGTAGTAGTAGTAGTAGTAGTAGTAGTAGTAGTAGTATGATAGTAGTAGTAGCAGTAATTAGACATGTAGAACTACACCCAATTGAGGTGTTGTCGACGTGTAGGGGGAAATCAAAATGAATGATTTGTCTTATACTTCGTTTGTGAGGTATTAGAGAATATGTAGATAATATTTTTAGCTCAGACCGTTCTCTGTAATTATGCAACAATGGCGCTGATGGTCATACTCCCATCTTTTGACAGATCGAGATACGAACGTTAATCTTAACCAACACTCTCTTCTGCCACCCCAACTTCCACCCCTTCCAACCCCGCTCTGATTTTTCACAACTTCTCGAAAACAGCAGGAAATGAAGAAAGTTAAAACTCAGGGAAGATAATGCTTGTTAAAATCTGAAATCATTGAAAGAAATATGGCAATGAAGGTATCCTCGTTATTGAATTCAATCTAGATTATATCCTTCCCACCCTTTTATTAATCAGTGATGTATAGGTTTTAAACAAAAACCGTGATCACAGTTATAGTATTCATAACAACCATTCATAGTTAAATGAGAAAAGTGAGCTACTTTTTAAAACATTTGAGTAATATTTATTGCAATAAAATTATTTTCATGACAAGTCTTTTTTTTCTATTTTGCTTGCTTGACATTATTTTATTTTCTTTAAGTCGAATTATTGTTGAATATTACATGTATCACAGAAATTTAGACAACGCATAGTAAGTTTTCTGGAAATCGTTCATGTTCAAAAGTTTCAAACGCATTTTTCAGGATACCAGCATTCACTGAATTTAAATTTGCCCTTTATACCCGCAACGCCTTATGCACAGAATGTCTCGTAATAAATGTTAGAAACTTATAAAGCAGGTCTGGATTCAAAGATGATCACTGAACAAGCGGTGAGAAAGTACATATAACGAAATTCTACATCTCACATTTGCTCCTGATCATGCACTTGTGTTTGGCAGGTAAACGAATACCTTTTGCATCAGAACATGACCCGCCAACCAACAGTGAATGAAGAGATCTTTGACCAAATGCGTAACTCAGCTCTATGAGGTTTCCCAGCACATGATCAATGACATAAAATAATGGTTTTCGAACTCTGCTTGTCTTTGAAATATCTAACATTTATTCTGAGACAGACTGATTTAAATTTTTAGGACTTCACGAGAAAAAAATTCCATATTTTTCTTCGTCTGTTCAACTAATAATTGAAAGCCTTACAAGGAGTAAGGCCTTTGAAGGATGTAACTTAGCAAAAAATGGTAATGTAATAATTTGAAATTGGTAATGAATTTTAAGTTCGAACCTTATAATTACAATAGAAAATGAAATGAAGTGAAAATTTCAATATTTACAAAATGGTTGTAACTTGTTTAAAATACTAAACGCGTGATTCCCTACATTACATATTTCTCATTAGAATTGAAATAATGTTGTATGTGATAGCATTGCAGTTGTGAATTGGATTTGAAAAGACGAAACTATTTTCATTATTTTCTCTTTTTTATGGTGGCACATAAAATTTGCCTAAACTCAGCTACACAAAATAGTTGCCTTTTAATTTTTTTCACTGATTTAGTCTTTCGTCTTTCTCGTGAACGGATTTAGTCTCGTTTTTTAGATATTATATCGAGTACACCATTTTGTTTCAATACTTATAAGTTGATACTGTAATTATTCAATTCATCCGCTACACATGGTTTGTTTCTAAGGCACTTTTGTTTGAAAACTGATTTGAAATATTCGTCTTGGTTTCTTCGTCCATTAACGAAAATCTCCCTATGAAAGTGCCTTTTGGAACTGTCCACCCCAGTGGTATTGTTCTGTTCCGCCTTCCCCGAGCCGAATGTAAGTCGTGAGTGAGCCTTTTCTGTGAGCGAAGGGGAAACCAGACGACGTGCCTGCAGCGTCCACGAGCCTCGCGTGCTGCTGCCCCACGAGCAGCTCAGCCCGCGCCAGCACAGGGAAGCAGCTGCGCTCTCCTACTTCAGCTGCACCAGCACCATGAAGTATGTCACCACAGCACCCAACACCTGCGAGCATTCCAGATTCGAACATTCAAGTACAAATCTTGCAAAGGGCTGACCAAAGTAGAGTTGTTCGGTGTTGAATGTCAAATAGTATGCTTTTCAACATTCATTTCCACACCACAGCAAATACTTAGAATAAATGTATGCATGTTTCCTAAAAAGAAGTGATCAATTTATTTCATAATGATTCATCAAATGTATCTTCTTAATTTACATGCAAAAGGTTGGTTTAAATTCATTGCGTTTGAGTAATAAAGTAATTCGTAATATGACTAACTGTGAAGTACTCTATACTCTGAGGCACGGAATAACACTTTGAAAAGTTGTCACTTCATTTACTTTTTAAACGTAATGATTAAATTGAATACATTATAACGTTGCCAAAATAATGTCAACTCTAAGGGGTCGATAATCACGCATAATAAACTTTCCAATAATATTCTTTTGAAGGAGAGACCTTGGCATAGCCTAATGGACTAATGTACAATCAACACAGTAAGAATACTTCGAAGGGATAGTAATCCCCCAACATTTTTATACCATAGTTAATACCTTAACATTGAACATTGTTCAAATGAAAATTCGGAGTAGGATTACATCATAACTTAGTAAGAGCACACAATATCAATAAGCAAGCACAACTCCCTGAAACTTCTCCGGACGAGAAATATGCGAAAGCTACGTTGTAACATCACTGTCATCATCATCATCGTCATTAATATTAATATTATATTTTTCATTATTATTGTTATTATTATTACTGGTCTTTTAACTTTTATATATTTCCGTTAGTAATTCACCGACTCTCATTATTTGCCAGTGCCATTCGCACCGTGATACACATGCATGTCCCTCGCCCTTCCCTCAGCGGTGGCCCATGGTCCGTAGCCGCTAGGATACACACAACTTCTTAAGACCCACCCTGGACCCATAGCGACGCGCTGAGGTGGCACTCACGTCGTGATCCGCAGACCCACTGCCTGCTCTTTATTCCCCCTGTCCACCGACAGGCCACCAACCATATCATCGCCCTAGCCTCGTTTGACCAGAGTAGAGGAAAGGAAGAGAAGGCGGTCCTTGAAGTGATACATTGGTGGTTGCGGAAAGCCCTGACTACACAACTACACAGAAGCTAACATCCAATCTCGCCCATCCCATCGCCAATTTGAACCCATGGAGTCGACACTACGAAGATCCAATCATCCAAGCAATTTTGGCTACCCAGGTCGGCTTGTAATTCACCAATGATTTTCTTCAACATCAATTTTAAATTTCTTCCATGAGTCGTAATAGTTTCCGTCGCTCCCTTGAGAACATTTCTGTTACTCGCGTGTACGAGGGGAACGGTTTACTCACCGACGCGAAGAGATCCAGGGAGACGGTGAAGAACTTGGCGCCCGAGATGGACAGCGACTTCTGGCACTGCTGGCACACGATCTGCACGAACGTCTTCGCCTCCTCCGAGCCGTCGTACCAGTGGCACGAGTAGGCCGCCTCCATCACCGACGAGCTCTGCGCACACACGCTCGCGTTCATGCCTAGCGCAGGCGAACCTCAACGCTCACATGAAGGTAAAGGAAATTTTACGCGGCTTGAAAGGAATACAGTTGGTATTCATTCTGTTCAATTACACAATTTACATTTCTCGACAGCTTTTGGCACAAACTACGTGGAATGTACCCCAAAATAAAAACCATCCAAAACGTAGTTATTAAAGCATCAAGCTCTAGTTATTAAAGCTTTACAATAGAGTTTTGTACCCATATGAGAAACGTTACATTCCGAGCCCCTTGGCGCCAGTGTTTAAGACTTTCCAGTAGATGAAAGAGTTCAATCTCGCGTGACATACAATATTTTATTGTTTCGTACACAATGTTTGCATGTTTCGTAATTTTAGTAAGAAAAGTGGATATTAATAAAGAAACACTCCTCTCTACTTGTGCTAATGCAGTTGCTGTCAAGGTCGTTGGAGTAATCGTATTTTTAAATAATTAAGTATTAGCTTTAATTGTGGCAAATAATGTGTTTTCGGCCCAGAAGCTGCAAGGTATGTACGATCCAGTTTGCTTACGCATCTTGTATACAATAACCAACCTGTTAATATTTCACATTGTATATTTGTATTGTTTTTAGCTCTGAGGATGATCGCTACGCGATCGAAATGATCATTAGTGGAATTAAAATATTGATACCTGACAATATCTCTATTTATTTATAAAAAAAATAAAAATAAAAATAAAAAAAAGGTATCTACTTCACCAACAACCCAATTAATTAATGTGGCAAATAAACTATTCGTTTTTATTTTTCTTTCATGTTTTGTCCATTTCATTATAAAAGGAAAAACCGTTATTGAGTCGATAACTCGGAAATCATTTTCAAGATTTCAGTTGTATAATATTTTTTAACGGATTCTTTAAATTGTTGTTACCAAATTTGAAAATTGTTTTGTTTTCAGAACAATTTTGTCGTTTTCATACATTTCACACTTTTGTATTTCAGTCATTTGGAGTCAAATTAATTTCATATTGTACTATCTATTCAGATGCTTCACATACTGAGCACCATGATCATCTACCAATTCGAACTTATTCCGCAGCAGAAATGTTAGCCACAAGAAAAGGGTCTACTGAATCATTTTGTAAAAGTTCCTTCAAACGGAAGATTATTCTATTTAATATTTACAAGAGGAAAATGTTTATTTGTAGATCACAAAGCTTCTCTAGGAATTATGGATAAGTGTAATACATTTTTAAAATTTAGAGATCATTTGTAATTCTTGAATTCTAAGAACGGCCTGGGTACTTAGTGATTTATCTGTTATCGCATTCTTCCACAGTTGCTTCCTAATGCCTTTTATAAAGTCAGTATCACCTATCCCAGGATAAGTAGACAAGTTTAATAAACTTAAACGAAAATTATCCAGATGACTCTGAATACAAGTTCCAAACTGCAAGGGTAGTAGAGGAGTCTATGATTATTACTTTTTGTAATAATACGTTCTGGGAAATATCTTATTACACCTAACATGTGAAACGCCTTTAAAAAAGTGAAAGAGGTTTTGTCTACTTACAAGAAATAAATACCTCTTGTGTAACTTCGTTAGATGAGATTTCCCCTCACACGTTAACTGACAAAAAGGAATCACTTTTGACCCCACTACCTGTGACATTTTGTGACAGTCTGAAGCGCTTTCAAATTTATTTGAATTGCACTAAGTGCATAAAACGTACGATATATTCGTAGCATTAATCTTATTTCTATTATTAATGGCTGTAATAAAATAATGGAAATGACGGCAAAAGTGGCTCACCTCCTCGATGAGCCTGTTGCCGAAGACGCAGAAGAGGAAGACCTGCGCCAGCGTGTAGCCCAGGTAGCCCAGCACGGAGCACGCGTACACGTCCACGGCGGAAATCTGCGTCACAATTGCCGCGCTGCTCGACGGGCACAGCCATTCGCGTTGCGCGCAAAGCTGCCCTATGTGCCCCACTTTCGGTTTTTAAGTGTTTTTATGCTGTTAAATGGTATAAGGGCTCTTATCCATCATGTTTCCCTATACCTATTCAAAAATTGCGTTTCTCTTATGTTGAACAGTACGCGAAAACAGTTGAATCCTGTCGTGAAGTGTAAGGCTAAATGAGAGTACTTTCTATTTCTGGAACATTATGTTTCATGGAATGCCACTTTGGAAATGAGCTGAATAATCAATAAAAAGTAAAATAAACGAAATCAGCTAAATAATTAATAAAAATAAATAATGAATAAAACATGTTTCATTCATTATTTATTTCATTATTTTTGTCATCATTTGAATACTATCGTACAGTATTTTCGCGCAATGCCTTCAATTTAATTTTTGTACTTCGAATATTTAGCAAATCCGCACTAAATGATACAAAAAATAAATGTTAATTTTACTGATCCTTAATATAAATGAAGATTACGCGTTCAGTGTGTGTGTCTTCAATTAATAAGAACATTTTTTACAGAAGTAGAATAAGCGCAATTTTGTTGAATAGAGCAAATTTCTTACCTTTGTTGCTTGGTAAGCTAACAGTGTCAGCGTGACAGTTGACGTCAACATGTGCAGCAGTAAAGCCGATCCGTATGCATCGCCAATGTTGCCCACGAATCTGTGGGCGAGAACAGTGAAAATGAGCTTGTTCGTCGGCAAAAAAGGAATGAATTGAATTCTGTGATTAATTTTAATGCTGTCCAATTTATTCGTTATGGATAACATTTCCCAGCAGGGCTGCTTTAAAAACAAATGCTATTCATTCTCCTACAGAACCACAATAATTGTCCCATGTATTAATTTTCTGCATTAGTTGTAAGTATTACATACATTATATCGGATTTGAATTTATGTCATTTGGTTCTGAATGCATTACATTATCAATTTGGTTTATTTCAGTGAAGTACTGATACGTATTAGGATTTTTTAATTAATTGTGCGTAATTAATTTGCATTTATATTTAGTACTACTACAAAGCTTCAGTAAAACACGCTTGTTGTCTCATCCATCTATTTAGCACCGGCATTTATGATATTTGTACGGGCGTTTCAGTCTTTACTACTAACCTACGCTTAAAAAACGTTCTTAAGAAATATGTAATTTGCTTAAAATAAGTAGTAACTAATTATTTTACTTTTGTGACTTTTGTATTTGATATTAAACTTCTCACATAAAGATTTGGTCGAAGTAGTTTTGCCGTGTACATTCGCAACCGATTGAAATAAACTGATTTAAAATATGTAATACAATAGTTGAATGTCGGAACCTTCTCGATACAATACTTTGCAAATTATTCAGGGCGTCTCAGAATGCATGTTACAAACGTCTAGATCATGTGGAGATGTCGAAGATCATATTTTTCCAAAAATCACATGGTTGGAAATTTTATCTAACGAAGTCATTAATGTGACATTTGCCCCCAACCTCCAAGCAGCTCGTACAGCACCAGTGTTTGCAAGCACACGAAATCCCTTTGGTTGCGTCAGAACATGACCTAGCGAACTTACATGACGCCTTACATGAAGAGTTGAGTAACAATCAGGGATAGGCGTCACATCTCTAACTTCGTTATGTTCTTTAATTAGATCGCTGGTAATGTAGATACCTCATATTATTTAAGAATGATAAATAAAAGATGTTGTCTGGTATCAACAATTTATTTGGCTGATGATCGTTTCTATCGCATAGCGACCATCCTCACAGCTAAAATTCGAAATAAATTATAGTAATAAACAATTAGGGATAAGTTAATACAAATATTACGTACAGAATGTTGACATTGTGTGCCAGATGCGTAAGCAAACTGGTCCGTACAAACCTTGCAGCTTCCGGGCCGAACACAAAGTTCTGCGGATTTTTGAGAGCGTGTCTTGTTTAAGAACAGAGCCGGTTGGCAGCGGGTGGGGCGGGAAGAGGGGTGGGGTGCGGGTGAAGGGTCGTAAGACGCGGGGGTGCCTGTGGGGGATTCAGAAGCGGTCGGGCGAGCGAAGGTCATTGGAGTAGGGGGGGTAGGAGTGTACACTTTGTGCTAATTTTAGCAGAGGTGAAGAGAGTCCATAGATTTTTTGGTTAAGACATGTCATGTTCTGTTTTTTGAGGATGTTGTGTATATGTAGAGATTCTAATTTTATTCTGTTCCAGTCAGTACCTGTTTTCAATTTCTAGAATTCGGAAATTTGTTTGTTTATCAAATGTGTGTTTGTTTAAATTTAGGTGATCTGCAAAGTGTGAGACTGTGATAGTTGTTGTGATAGTTGACTGTGATAGATGTTGTTTTTCCATGCTTGTTCGCGTTTTTTGATTCTCTGTGTGAATTTTCGGCGTTTGTCCAAAATATATGGCATTGCAGTTGTTGCAAGTGAGAGGATAGACTCCGCATAAGGAGGTAGGTGGGATAGGGTCTTTAGTGTTGGAGAGTGTTTTATGTAATGTATGAGTGTTTATAAAAGAAGTTTTGAGACCGAAGTTATTGAGTGTGGCGGCTATTTTAAGAGAATCAATTGAAACGGTCATCAGCCAAATAAATTGGTGATACCAGAGAACATCTTTTATTTATCGTTCTTCGTTATGTGCATTGGCAAAATGTGATCATCTTCGCCCTGTGCGAAGGCGCGCGCGACGTCCACTCGCCTGACGACGTGCTTGTGCCGCTCCACCCAGTACTTGATGGCGGAGCGCACCAGCACCTCCTGCTTCTTGGACAGCCCGTTGGGGCCGACGCCGCCGCCCCCGCGCTGGAAGCCGGAGAAGTCGCGCTGGTTGCTGTAGATGCTACGGATCGTCACCGACCCCTCCACGTCTGCCAACACAACGCGGCACCGCTCAGGCGCTCACCTCAGGCGTATACTTATGGTGGAAAATGGTGTCTGCGACGGTGACCCACGGGTTGGAATCTCTGTTCACGTGTACCGAGCCGAAGATTATAGCTTCGAGTCCTGCGCAAGGCGACAATGCTTTCGCTATGTGATTGTTACTGTCTACTTTCCCAAACCACTACGTATCTCTCAAATGAACCTACTTCCATGCACAGTCATTCCTATTCATATCATGACTCACTCCTCAAGAAAACCATTCTGTATTACGTGAAGTGTAGCACAATGGTAAACTATCTCTATGACCAAATCTCTAGATAAGAGGAGCTCATAAAGCGTAAAAATTTCTCTTGCCTACCTAGTTAATTGAGAATGTCCCAGATCATTATTACATCAACGTAAGTCTGAATATTCAGACTTAAAACTAATACAATGTGACGGTTCACTGTGAAACATTCATTTTTTTATGTTTCCGGTTTCGTCAACTGTTAAGATCGTTAGTCATAAAGTGTACTGCTATACCTGCTACTATATCCCTGGAAGTGATTGTGTATCTTCCCCGCCAGAATATGAGATCCGGTGCCGAGCTAACGGTCGACATCTCTTTCGAGGAACCTCCATCGGGACAACTCGAAGCGCCTGGTCTTTCTTGAAGACTGGTCTTTCAATATCAGAGGTGGAAATGAATATAATAAATGTACGTGCGTGTGGGTGGGTGTAAGGAATTCGGAAAAAGATATTGTTTGCGGTTGGCCCGTTTGTTAAGGTTATTCTCTAATGTTCTCCTGGTAAACATCGGAGAAATCATGGAAAACTACCGATCAGAGGATCCAGCTGCATAAATTCTCTTGCGCGGTAGCTGAATTCCACGTTGCTACTTAGCTGGAATTTATTCGCCGGGACTTGAACGCGACGGCCTCCGATACAAGAGGCACTGCGGTGGCGAATATTGGCAACGGCGCAGGGTGCGGGTGGGTAGCGCACCTTGCTCGTTGATGTAGTCGTCGGCGACGGCGGGCGAGACGGCGCGGAAGAGATCGGCCGAGTGCGGAACGACGGTGTCGAGGGCGGCGCTCAGCTCCATGAGCGGCCGCATCACGTCCTTGAGGTGCACCAGCTGCTCGCACGCGTAGATGAGCCAACAGCAGAACAGCACGTCGAGCAGGTTGGCGTGGAACAGCGCCAGTACCAGCCAGTACAGCTACGCACAACACACCACACACCGTCAGCGGCTTGTGTTGAATTGCAGGTTGAATAGTACTACACGCGCAACTTTTCTTGATATTCCGCAGCGGCGGGTGCGGGGAGAGAAGGGCTCTAGCTACGTCACGGCTTTAAAGGGCGTACCAACTGTAGGCATAAACTCAACGCACCAAAGCGAGCCACGAGGAACGCTACGATTGTTTTGAAGGTACGATGTGGTTGTTGGCAGCTTTGTAAATTGGTACGTGCCGTTCCGAGTCGAACCTATTTCAACGGGCCGTGCTATTCAGCGCTGGGGAGGACTAGGGAGCTCGTGTATCAAGAAAACTTGCGCGTGTAATAGAGTTCGCACGGGGAATCTGTGCATTTGGAAGACGTCACAGAGAGGTACCACTCAATTCGGTCTCAAAAACATTGACTTTTAGCCTTTTTGACATGAAGCTTTGGCACAAACAATGTATCTTTATTATTAGGTGTAAGAAAGCACACAAGAAAACCAATGAAACAAAATACTCACACAGTCGCAACAAATTTCTGTTCGTCAGTTTAGCGATTACAATCCTTAGCTTGCATTGGGCAACTCAAAATTACTTGAATAGCAATAGGACACATACATCGCTCTACTGCGCGTGCGCTGTGCTCCCACGTTTTGCTCCCATTGAGACGGTCGTCCAGTGCATAATTATCTCGGGCGAACTCTTAACACTCTCTCGAATGTTTTCCGAAGAGCGATAGTGTGGATTGATTGATCTACTGAGCATGCGCAGTGTTTCCTTTCCCGTGCGTCGCATATTAACGGTCATTGTGTACAAAGGTACCTCTTTCGAACACTAAGAAATGTGGGTATTTAATATTTCGTAAATGACAAAATATTTCTCACTTCATTTAATTCATAGTTTTAATAAAAGCTGTATGAATACATAATATTTGATTTACGATTTGTTGAGTTTTCAGTTTCTGTTCAAGAAAGAAATGTTAAATATTCTCATACACATAGTGTATATACACATAGCCGATTAGATGGCCGAGATCGCTAAGGAAGTCCCGTAATGGTTTCAGACCAGAAAATCGTAATATCGAGACCGGACTCGGGCATAAGTATTTGTGTTTGCCTGTATGAGTGTGTCGTCCTTTCACCCCTCATTAACATCACCATTTCATCTTCCATACCCCCAGCGCTAACAACTCTGGAGAATAAAAATCGCAGTCAGGCGAATGCTGGTTCCCAATTAAAGTTACATGCACCTGCCACCGCGATAATGATACTGAGCCACGGTAAATGCAGGATGCATGCATGCGCGGTCCTAGTCGTCTCTTTCGTAAAAAACTGTGAAATACGGCCCTTGTAGCGAGAAATATGGTTGATTAAAACGGCCCATTTAAAAAGGTGGTAAATCATTTCGCAGCATGGATCGTTGCATTAGATCAACTTGTCTCAAGAATCGATTGTATTTTATATAGATTTTCTTGAAAAAAGAACAGCTAAATGGTTCGCGCAAAAATGTTCGAGAGAATTCCTTTTCAAAACGGATTTTATCAAAAATCTCGACATCAGTTTTAAAAAAATCCTGACGTAATAAAAAAAATGGAGTTCATAACATAAAAATCAACGAAAAATGTTCATGTATATTTCAAAAACTTCAGGTCTTCATAATTTGTTTGTAAATTAAATGTTTTGTTCATATAAATGTAGTAATTAATGTGTATTTAAAGGTATGTCTTTCTTTATTCCTTGCAATCTTCATTTATCGTCAGAAAATATTTAGGTCGCAAAGCCTCAATTTCTTGGTGTTCGTGATATACAGATCGCTCCCCGCCGGGGGCGGTTTCCGACACAAACTCAGGAGGCTTTCTTTCCTTCGGGATTGAGGCTTGCAGCGGCGGTAGCCTTCATTGGCTTCGTCTCGACAACTCAGCCAAGAGTACCCCGACGACGTGGAATGACTCTTGCCCAACTGCGACTAGGCGGATCTGGAGCAACATTCGTCTTGTCTATTTCGCCATCGAAGCAGAGGGAGGGGGGAAAGAAGAAGAGACGGAGATTGATGGGGTGATGGGAGTGAGGAAGGGAAGGGAAAGGAGTAAAGGGAAGGGGAAGGAGAGACGGAGAAGAGGCAGCAAGAGAGATAGAAAAGAAGAGAAGAGCGAGGTATTGAGAAGCGAAGAGCCTCCAATGTTATTAGTACAACTCACGGTAGTTAATATAAATCCGTCTGTATGAGAAAAAGAAAATGAGATTAATGATTCCTGGTTAAAGTTATGTAATAAATGCCCACGTTCGCACGTGAAACTAAATGTCTGCTTACACCCTTTTTCACTGACCGCCTGAGCTGTTTGGCCGTGCGGGAGCGCGCCCACCTGGTAGACGAAGGTGCCGATGTAGGTGACGCCGCCGCTGGCGTCCCACGGGTACCAGGCGCGCAGCGGCAGGCGCGGGATGTCCACGAAGACGGTCTCGTTGCCGTTGTCTGGGTGCGGCACCTCCTTGGTGGAGTCGTCCACCAGCGTGAGCACCGTCCACGCCAGGATGGAGGCGGCCGTCGCCGCGCACACCAGCACCACCAGGCGGCGCATCTTCGTCACCGCCAGCGAGTGGTACCTGCGCGGGGCCCCACACGGAACGCATGTGGCTCAATGCACTACGCAGCAAGTGTCAAGGCATGCAAACGACATGCAGAACCAACAATGCTGCCGAAAAAAGCCCATTAGCATTTTTCAAAAAGTAGCGCGCACCTTGATCGAGAATATCAAACAAAAAACTCTGCAATTATATAATTATATTTTTACAAAACGGTCTGATGCTGCCATAATAGAGTAGAGTATATTCGACACAACAATACTTTTTACACACTAATTATATAAAAAAGTTTCTGTTTCGTAATGTACGTCTGCCATTATGTGAATAGCAAATATTTAACAGCATACGGCGACTTCGATGATGCCTATATGTTGCATGACATCAGCTGCTTTGTGAGACGTAAAATGGACCCTTTTGCCGGTTTCTAGGTATCTAACAAAACCATGGACCCTTCTCAAATGGCCGATGTAGGCATCTATTGCTTTTAACTGCTGAACTAAAAATTATTCATGTAAACGTTTCCCATTTATTCGCGCTTCTAATAAAACCATGAACACAAGGGCTACAACGTCTTCTTTCAATTTCTGCGCGCTTTGCAAATTAGTAACGTAGTACATTGTGAGGGCCTGTAAGGCAAGCCGCCTACTTACGAATTTAATTTCATACTAGAAGTGTTTCAACTGTCTCAAAACAAGTTCTCACTCTGGCCCCTGAAATTGAGTTAAGGCTAAAAGTACCGAAAAATATTTCTAGAAAAACTCAATAGATAGCGGTACTGTAACAAGGAAATTTACTTTATCGATTAAATCTGAACCAGTAGTCCGATTTTCGATCTGTAAACAGCATTTGACGTCTGTTTAAAATATAATTTACGCTACAAAACCCGTTTTTTAAACAACTAGCCAAAAATTAAAATTTGAAATTGGTGCTCGAATTTTCGAGAAAAAATTAAATAATGTGGGCTTATAGTGTTATGTCGACATGCTCCAACGCCGCGTCAATCATGCAAATCGGATTAGTAGGGGCGTCGTAAAATGAAATGTGTGAAAACACCTCGCCCCCCCCCCATCCCCTTCCACCCGTTGCGTCGTCCTCACGTTGTGGGCGCGACGTGCGGCCAGCCCCGGCAGAGGAGGCAAGCCAGGCAGGCGGTTTATGCTTTCGTCAATTGCAATCTCAATATATTTTTCCTCACATATTAAACTAGTCATGCTATTACAGAAGCAAATGGACTCGTATCATCTGTAATAGTACTATAGAACTATTTATATTGTTCTCATATACGTTTCAGTAAGATTCTTTTGATTACAGTCATAAATACTGTTTGAGGCATTCTTCAAATATTGATTCCGATTTGGAAGTTATTTCAAAAAGAAAATTGGACTAGCTGTGTAAATATCACCAATATTTCATCTCCTCTCATTCGTTCTTATTCCACTACCGGAAAAAATAAGCAGATATTACGCACGATCTATTTTATCCAACGACTTGAATTTTAACGCAAAACGGCGTTTGTCTCCTTGATAGAATTTGCTTTGTGATCCTCTTTTCCCAAGTAAAATAGCTGAAGTAAATTTTAAAAATGTTTTCGTACTTTTGAACAAATTTGAAAAAGTGGTAAAATAGCGCGCTGTCATTGTTCAATCAAATTATTCCTTTTAATGTGTTAGAGATTCCTAAAGTAGACGCATTATTTGGCGATGATTTAATTTTGAATATTAAAATTTTGAAATTAAATTTATATGATGTTTGCATTTACAATGTACAGTATCAACAGCTCACTACAAAAAATTCACATACAATGCATGTACATTATTTTATAACACTTTGCCAGAAGATTGATTGAAAGATGAAATTCGATACAAGCCCTAAGTAAAAACTTTTCTGCAGCACAACGGTTTTATACAATTAGAGACTATAATGAGCATCCAAAAGGAAAGTAATATTAATTTTAACAATGACATGTACTGCAATATATACCATTTGGACTGAATAATTCTAAAGAACCTGTAACGACTATTGCACTTCATCTTCTGGGTCAATGACCCCCATCTTGATCAGGTTTTTGTTTAGTTTCTCTGATCCTTGAGCAAATGCTGAAATAGCCCCTTCCTTCTGGACATAAATGTATCTTCAAATTGAGTTCCGCAAGTTTTTCCTTCTCCTCGTAGCACGTCACACAGTTTTTAACTGTTTTTGAAGTAAAACATAAATATAGTCTTTGCTACCCTCGTAGTCCGAATCTCGGAGAGGGCGAGATGATAATTCTACGAGTTTTTTTCGAACAAGGGCAGTATGTACGCGTGTAAGACTGCGGGTAATGAAAATATTTTTGAACGTAGCGATAGGCTGTTCGGAGCAATGACGCCTCTTGGTAATATTTTGGTTTTCTGTTAATGGCTTGCTAGCTTGATGTTCAGTTGGCCGCTTGTTTATACTAGGGTCAAATGAAGAGCTACAATTTTTTTGTGTAGCAAGTTAGCAACAAAAAGGCGACAAGTTTTGTGTTTAATTTCAATTTTCTTTAAACTTCGCTATTCTAATTTTACGGACCTCGTGAGGAGTAGGTCCGGGAATTCCAAATCCGACGCGGCACTGGAACAGTGGTTCGCAAATAGACAACTTTGCCAATGCCCTTATCAAGTTCACCAATACTGATTAGCTCGTTTGCTCGCTGCCCTTCTTTGTTTTGTACTTCCCGTTTTATCTCCGGTCTCGGTACTCCTTATCATTCTTGAGCCACCAAGTCACCTTAGTTTATGGGACTTGCTTTATAATATAGGTGTTGTGGTAAGATATCTTT